GTGTTCTTATGTATTTACAAATAACTGTTTAAAAGCCTATGTTCAGTACTTATCTAGTACTCTTATGTGAGCCTTTTTAGTTCTCTTCTCTTTTTTCTCTCATTGGCCTTATTCGTCATGTTTACCAGTTGCTTAGTACCCATATACTAGTTGGCTCTGTTATGACTATTATATTTTTGTGTTACTTATGTTATATTGCATTCTCTTTTAAAACTTTCCCTTTTAAACCAAAGCCAGGCCAGCCAAGACAATATGTGCGTCTGTCATTATGTAGTTTACGTTCTCATAAACTGCTATGTCATTTTCGTCAATTGCATATTACGGTATGAAAGTTCAAGTGGTGTGTACGGAGTTTTTGTTAATAAATTAGTTGGATCTGCTATTAATACAGATCGCGTTACACAAATAGTTGGCACATCTGACGTTCACTGTTGCATAATTGTATATATACGCTGTATATTTATTGTTCTCTAATAATTATAGCACTTGAGTTGGGTACAGTTATATGTAATGAATGTGACTTTGAACTGTCGTTACTTTTTCTCGTATACTATGAAATTTACCAATACATAATAAATTGAAATGATTGTGTCGGCTGTCGCCCAATAGACTCATTGAGGTTGTGTATAAAGCTCGCTTAGTATGATATAATGAAATAAATACTACATTAAAAGCTCAAAAATTAAAAATTTTTGAAAATCGAATCTAAAGTTTTATATTTTAAATCTAATTCTAAAAACTTTAATTGTAGTGTTATGACCTTATGACTGTGTTAAGCGTCCGATATAACTTTAATTCTAAACTTCCACTAATTACTCTGTAACTTATAATAACGACCATTTCTTATTAACTGTTGGTCATTAAAGTCTCGGACATTTTTTTATTCATTCATCCCTAAGGGCACTTGGATGTCTGCGGAGGGCGTGGTAACTCAGCGACCTTGAGCAAGGTCGCCCCATCACGGGCCGACGCATGCTTTTTTAACCCATAAAATTACCCATAAAATGTTGAACGATAATATCCCTTTATACAGAGTAGACAGATGTACAGAGGCAACTCTACAGCTTATACATACATTCAGTTTATATTATATTAAAATTACATAGTATAAAACAAAGTTGCTGTCGCTGTCTGTCCCTATGTATGTTTTTTTTTAAATACAATTTTCCATAGACATATTCGTCCGTGCCTTTTTTAATTTACTTTAATATTATTATATTTCTTTAATTTCCACTTTTGTACAACTCCAGCCGAGATGTTACAATTTGCCTAACAGTGGCACCGAGGCAGACCTTATGTATGTTTAAATATTTAAAAGTACATAGTAGTACATATACACCCGCGCGAAACCCGGCGAAAGCTAGTATTAAAATAAATTAGAACTTAATTATAAACCTTTTTTTTTATCTTACACTTATGGTATTTAGACTAGGTCTTTTATCGTGATATGATAATGCCAGTCCCATCGTATCTTATTACTAATCTTATCTTCTACTGTACAATGAAAACAAACATTTTGCTGGCGATGATACAGGATCGGATATACCGTGGTACATACCAACATCAAGCCGATTCAATCCAATTTTTTAAAAATACTTTATATGGTTGAATTTAAATGGAGGGATATTTTATGAAAGTGAAATAGCCAATATGATCGGCTATTGGTAATCGCTGTATAAATATTAAAAAAGAAACGATTGGTGTCATCCAAGCCATGGTATGACGGCATATGTGGGACGTAATTTTTGGGCCCATCCAAAAATTACGTCCCACATATGCCATACGACGGGGCGGGAGGGGCTTAACTTAGTGACGTCAAATTTAAAAATAATATATATTTTAAGTGTGAAAGATACTAATTTCTAAACTGCAATTTGCTTATGAAGTAAATTACTTCTAGATGTAAAATATGTGACGTTACACTCTAGAGAGAGAAAAAATTCACAAATTACAGTTGGTGACCTAAATTTTTATCAGATGTAACGTAAAATATCATATATTACACTCCAGACGGCGAAATCATATAAATGTGATCAGCTGTGACAATGGACACAAAATTAAACAAATTTGTGTGACAAAATTGATTAGGCGGCCCCCCCTAACTTAATTTAAAAAGTGCTGTTAATTTAAAATACTTTAATATCTGCATGCAGCTACTCTGTATCAGTAAAAGTGGCTCCACTGAACTTTTTGCCTGCGCAGGCGCATCGAGGAGGGTAACAACCGCTTTATGTGTGTGTGTTACACATATGTCCAAGGAATCGAAGTAAAAACAATAGTTTTTATCATATACTTTAACAGTAGAGGCGTCTAATTAATTGTTAGATAGAAATGGTATGTTAACAATATAAACTTAAAAATTATTAAATAATATTATATTATACTAGCTGTGCCCGCAGTTTCACCGTTAAGTTTCAATAAAAAATATATCCAATGTGTTATTCTGATGCATAAGCTATATTACTGTAAAGTTTCATCAAAATCCGTTCAGTAGTTTAAGAGTGAAAGAGTAACAAACACCCATACTTATAAACTTTCGCGTTTATAACATTTTTAAGATTAAGATTTGTTGCTGGCACCTTGTCCACTATTATTTTTATAAATATTGTATCATTTTGGTATCTGTTTTTTATATGTCAGTTTATGACTACTTTACTGTAAGGTCTTTTGGGATATATATACATATTTTTTATTTACCTTAACAACACATTAATTATTCTGTTTTTTAATAAAATAGTATTGTATTTATTAGTTCTTTTTATTGCGATTATATTCAAATTCAAATTCAAAATATCTTTATTCGAGTAGGTCTATTACAGACTCTTTTGTAAGTCAAATCTACCGTCAGTTCGGAACAACATATATATATATATTACAGATAGTATAATAATAATAATAATAAAAACTCTTTATTGCGCATAAAAAATACAAATAATTACAAAAAAAAAAATGCGAATAAAAGGCGGCCTTATCGCTCAAAGCGATCTCATATCAGTAGTATATCAGTCTCAGTGGAGGATCATGGTCATGAAATTACCAGGAATAAATGGTGTAATGTTTTCTAGGAGACACCTCCGTGGAGGTAGAACTGATGTAGTTCATTGCTAGCCATACGGGCACTGGTCTGCATTCCCAACAACCTCCTTAACCTTCATAAGATTACGTGTAAGTATACGGTACGGATGGGCTAAATCTTGGTCATATAAACTTTTAAAACAGTCAGGCTAAATGGTGTTAAGGGCAAAGGACGCTTCAACATGCAGTCATAAAAACACGACAGCGTCGGGTTAACTAACTGACCTTTAATTCTGTCGGCCGTGGCAGGGTTAGCTGTACAGTAATTGTTTTTTAATGCCTCCTTTGTAAGCGAATATTTGACATTTTCTGAAATAGTGGATTAAATATAAATAAATTGGAAAGTGTAGTTATATTGTCTTAGTTGATTAATACTTAGACTTATAAAACCAGACGTAAAATCGTATCTGTTCGACTCCATAAAAAATTGTGTCTTAAACAAAGTGTTTGTTTCAAACACATTTAAAAATAGTTAAAAGAACAACGAACAATCAGACATAGCACTGTAACTAATTTTTTTTATTAATATAAAGAGATACTGTATATAAACTGTTATATTACATATTATAAAATTTCAAACTAGACTATGTATTGCTTTTCATTTATAAAAACATGTGCTGCCATCTATTGGTGAGAGGAGTAAAACTTTTGCATCAATAAGTTTTATAACACCAAAATAACCAGAAAATTAGCTCTTACTAGTCCTTCAGAGATAATATTCGAAATATGATGTTTGATGACAACGTCGACCCTAAATAATTGGATTAATACAAGACTAACAGTATTAGTAATTAAGTAGATAGTCATTACTAATAATTTATTTGTTGTCCTTAAGTTATGCATGCGATAGTATGCTCGTAAAACGAAGCTCGACCGTTCTCAAGTACAATATGGGGATTTGTTTATGCGAGCTATATTTTCTATTGTTTATTACATACGGTGCGTACTTTATTATGCGGGCTGATGTTAGGTTCAATGACCTGATATGAGTAAAAGCACATGAAATGTGTTGGTAGTACATTTCAGAGCTAAATATCTGAAGCTGGCAGAATTTTTAAGGATGCCAATAATAGTAAAGTAGATTATAGGTAAATTTGTTATTATTTTTATTGAGGCTTAAGTAGGCTATGTGACCAGCCTACTTAGGTTATGTAGACTTCATAAAAAATATTATTTGCCAAAAATTAACAGCTTGAAATACATATTTTAAATTGGCAATTTTTATGTATGATAAATGTTAGATATGTTAGATGATTTTGTTTATTCGTTTATTTGACTGTAACAAGTAAGTGATGCATCTGCCTGTGCTACCGGTATACGCTGGCGAGGCTTTGAAGTCGGATCCGAGAGCCCATCGTGGCGAATTTACCAAGACTTAATTACTATAGTTTCTACGAAGAACAGGCGGTATATATTATACATTGCCAACAGTTGGGCCACTTGTCTTCATTACTAACAATGCCGTCTCTCCTGAGTTATCATATTATTCAACTGTAACCACTTACTTTGAAGACTTGGCACAAAGGGCCGGAGTCGGCAACGCTCACGTAACACGTAAGCCTATGGACGCCTGGTGTTTCAGGCGTCCATAGGCTACGGTAACAGTTTATCATCAGATGGGCCGTATGCTTGTTTGCCATTTACCACCTATGTGGTATAAAATAAAAAACTCGTGGTTACTTCTGTCCTATTGATTTGAAAATCAAAATTATTGGCTACAGCTATAGAACACCTTTTATATTTACCCTACAAACAAAATAGTTCAATATTTCCTGGTCATTGAACACATTAGCCGTCATTATAATAATGAACAAATGTTTTGAATTTTTACTGCAAAACTAAATTGAATTCAATTGAAATCAATATTGATATAGATTCAAGAATAGACTTAGAGTAGATATCTAATACAGTTTATTCAATTACAGGATGGTTCTCAGCGTGCGGGTGCCGGGGCGGAGCGCTGGCGTCCCCCCGGGGCTCCATCGCCGCTCTGCTTCGGGCGCGAGCTTTTGCTCTCGTGTCGCCGCGCGCCATCTCTGCATATCGGGCGAGGCCGGCTTCCGGTGAGTTGCTTTGTACTGACAAACTTCTAGCTATTCCTGAAATCCTGGTACTATGGTAGGCTAGCTAGACCTAGATATTGGTTGGAAAATAATGTGTAGAAAAGGGACACTTTTTGATTTTTACATATATAAAGTTCTTTCGGTTATCATATTTGACAACATATTTATGGATATTTCATCCCAATTTATGTTAAACTTTTACATACAAACACAATTTTAGACTCAATATGAGTTTAGGATTTTATTATAGGTAAAAATATAGATGGTTCTTTCTGTATTAAATGTTTGAGTTACTTTTATCGATTTTAGATGTGGTCGATAGCTATTACCACTCTAGATCCCGTGGGTACTCAACTTTTTTTATGTAACTCAATCTTAAATAATTATCTTACCAACGATCAACCATTAATGGTTTTTTTCATCTGGTCCAAATCATAAGAGATAGCGTATTTATATGTAAACAGAGAGCGGAAGGGTGGGGGCACAGTACGAGCGGGCGGCGGCGAGACCCGGTACGCCGCTGCGGCTTGCCGGTGTCTTCGCAGACGGCAGCAAGGCCAAGGCGCCGAAATACGCACAGCTGATCGATCCGCAGGGGAATGTAAGTACAGTAGTCATTTTTTTATGTAATTAGTAGTAATCGCGACAGGTTGATTTATAAAAAAAATCTATAATACAATGTAAGAATGTAATGTAAAGTATTTCCTTACTAGAAGTTTATCATAATAGATTTAGTTTGTTTGTTCAAAGTTTTGTGGTCAAATAGTGACCCTCTGATGGTATCTGCATACGCTAGTGAGGTATCAGTAAGAGAATAAATGTGATTGTGAAATCAGGTCATTGACCTACGAAGATTTACTAAGAGACCGCGTGGAAGTCGACTTGTTATGACACAATGGTATCAGTGGTTCCATTGTAAGTAATGTTGAAGAATTTGAGAATCCCCCTCTAAGAATGGCCTCTCAAAGAGGTCGGGTTGTCACACTAATATTGGAACATCATTACATCGTATCAATGTCAGATATAAACTTGAATGATTACAAATAATTTGTATAGACTTAAAATAGACCGTAAAGACATGTGAATAAAAGACATATAAGTTGAATTAAGAACTGTAATAAAATGGATATTAAAGTAATACGCAATTACTACATAATTATGATTTCTTGCTCTACATCTACAATTGATGTTTTATAGATATAAATTACTACACCGCAAATGTAACTCAAAGATTTATATTGTTAATTCACAGACAGACAGACGGTTGCATTGATTTTATAGCCAAGTAATGTAATTAATCGTACTAGTGTGTAATTCATAAGAGAAAGCGATTAGTTTTTGATTTGTTGAGCGTAATGTTGTGTTAGAATTCATAAAAGAAAATGCAGACTCGTATTGTAAGTATTTTTTATTGTAAGTATTTTCTCAGTAGTAAATGAACATAATGACAATCTATATCACCCTTTTGTTGAGCACATGTCCCAGAACTTATTTGCCTTACGCTGTCCAGATTATTTGGTATAAACTTGTATTGAAAGTTCTGTTTCCTTAAACTAGATTGTGTTTAAATACGTTCAGAAACGTATACTAATAAAAATTCGTAGGATAGTATTATTACTCCTTCACAAATAGATATAGGTTGCATATATCTTAAAGACACTAATATATATTTGTAATACAATTTTTATATATCTTCTGTGGAGAGATAATTAGAAAAATATGAGATATTTAAATGTACCAGTGTTCATTTTAGGACAGTATACTTTCATATATAAGTAATTTTTCGACGATTTTAAAGAAAATGGAATATATCTGAAATTTAAATTTACTTTCACTACCATCTCTTATGATTTGTACCACAGGCTTTACATTCACAACTACATACAAACGAGTAAGTTTATTGCAATACTAATATCGATTAATCAAGTCCATCATGCGGTACGCAGTCTGTGAACAGAGCAAAATGAAAAAGTGTTCTCGATGCATACTTGGTACAGTACGATACTCTATTCGATCCTCGTTCGATATTTGATGTTTATCGATTTTAAATTATAGCAGTGTGCATTGTGTAATAAAAAAGAAGCAAAGTTATATAACTATGTCTTTATGGTTGTAATAAATGATCTGTTGACTTCGATTTTTGGCACTTGACCCTACTGTTTGTGTGTTAAATATTTTCGGCCTACGCATGGTTTTTATATACGATGATATAATATTGCGCCCACTGACACTAACGGTATACGCTGACTGGGCCCCTGTGATACTATGAGTCTGGATATAGCAGTAATTAATATCCCTGGACAATTCAAACAGTACCATCTAGTATCTAGCTAAGCAGAGCCTGTAATATGAGTGCTAGATAACTGATAGATATATATTTTTTTGGTAAGTACATATAGGCAGCACCCAGACTAATACGTACAATCATATTTATGAACTAGCTGTTTTATGCTAAAGAATTATTCTAAAATAAAAGTAGCCTAAGTTACTCCTTATTACATTAGCTAACTGCCAAAAAATTCCCGTCAAAATCGGTCCAGCCATTTCAGAGATTAGCCGGAAAAAACAGACAGACAGACAAAAATTGTAAAAAATGTTATTTTGGTGTATGTACCGTATTTATATACATATGTATGTAGTAAAAAACGGTTATTTCTATATTACAAACAGACACTCCAATTTTATTTATATGTATAGATTATAATTTATATAGATGATAGGTTGGGTCCTCAGCATATTTGCCATTCTAATACACTATAAAAAAACATAACCAGTACCCGTTGAACTTCTCATTTGTTGCCATTTCCGACGATTAACTTAGTCCTGCCTCCATACCTTACAATTTAACTATCATATCTCACCCGTCAGGCAGGAAAACGGCTTACGAACTAAGCGGCTTAGTGCTAGAAAAAGTATACTAGAAGTCCAGAATTCACAACGAAAACGACTTCATACAAAGTTACAGATGTAATACATCCCTGTAAAACTTACTAGTATTATAAACGCCAAAGTTTGTGAGTATGGATGGATGTTTGTTACTCTTCCACGCAAAAACTACTGAACGGATTTTGATGAAATTTTACAGTAATATAGCTTATATATCAGAATAACACATAGGCTATAATTTAATGAGATATTATGTAAATTGGGCGAAATTTATATAATCTATACATATAAATAAAATTGGAATGTCTATTTGTAATATTGAAATAACCGTTTTTTACTACATGCATATGAATATAAATATGGTACATACACCAAAATAACAATTTTTACCATTGTTGTCTGTCTAACTGTCTGTCTGTTTGTTCCGGCTAATCTCTGAAATGGCTGGACCGATTTTGACGGGACTTTTTTGGCAGGTAGTTCATGTAATAAGGAGGAACTTAGGCTATTTTTACTTACTAACTTTAAGCTACTTATATTTCAGAAAAAATCTTTTACTTTAGAAAAATAAAGTTAAATTCCACGTGGACGAAGTCGCGAGAATAGCTAGTATATTATATAAATATCTGGGAAGTGTGATGCGGACGACGTTGCGCGGGACAGCTAGTAATATATAATGGTTAAAATTAATTAAAAGACGAGTAAAACAATTTTCTCGAAGACACACTTGTTGGACAGCGCGCGTACGAATATGCCTTCAGGCAATCGACCGAGTCTTGAAGTTTATAGAATAAACGTGTAAGACATGAAATTAATTCCATAGAGAAGCTGTAAGGATAACAAAATCTTTACATTTTATAAAATCATGACGAAGCGAAAACTGTCTGTTGGTTTGTTAATGATTCAACTACTACCAGTTACTTCCATTAGACCGCATTCAGAACCGAGCAACAATCACTGGTAATCAACGTCTTTGTGACAGACTCTATACATTGGCTCTGCGGCGAGATATTGCATTTGTGTGCATTTATTACTCTTTTTTTACACTAATGTATTTAATTGAATTAGTGCTAATCGGTGGTTTGTATTCACACACTAAAACTTAAATTGTAAGTAAGGATAAATTATTTAAAAGAGCAACACACAAGTTTCTTGCTTGTTCTTCTTGTGATGAGACAGCATTCCGAAGGAGCGGTAGATTAAAAAAAAAATGTTATGACTATTCAAAAGTGCTTCAATGTAAGTTTATTTGAATAAATGATTTTCTATTCTATTCTAATGCTGTTGGCCGCAGCTGGCTTTTACAGTTTGACTGGACGATGCAGATGGCACTTCAAGCTCCAAACGGTCGACTGAAGGCCAACTCCCGCCTGATGGAGCATCCGTCAGGCGGGAGTTGGTAGTACTTTAGTCTGAGGACACCGCTAGGGGTTCCAACCTCGGCTCAGATCGTCGTAACTTTGATCTCCTTTTGAATTGGACGGGAAATCGATCGGAGTGGAAACGAATATCATTCATTTCAATTTCAACGCAACGAAATTTTTACCGCACACATCACGGAGAGTCTTCTGAAAAATTGTTAATAAGTAATTGAAAAATAGATTAGGAAAATTGAATTGAATGACCTTAGGATTTAGGGTTCAAATTGTTTTGTACGCCAACTGAAAATAAATACCACAATCATTGACATCACACTGTTATGAGAGCAGAAAACAATACAAAAACATAAAAAACCTACTTAACGCTCAAAAGAACATTACGGTTTTTCTTTATTTTCGTTCGACATCCCATAGTAACACAGCAGGACTTCGAGAAACAGGACAAAGTTATTTCGAAAACGAAAATAAACAAAAATGACACCTATTTTGTATTCAATACAGTACAACGTTAACGCAGATATATTAAATGGAATGCGAATCCTAGACGACCTTCTTGTAGTTTGATGAGTTATCTGAAATAGACCTAAACGCCTAGGAAATAAGGTTCTAGATAAGTGCAAGTGTAAGTTTGTAATATCGGGGCAGTGTCCTCGGGAGGCGTGCTGCTAAAACCTTTGAATAGGGTTGTCACGACTTCAAAGTAGCATCTTTTTGTTTTTATCTGATATTCGACGTTTACTGGTAGGGGAACAGCACTGAGTGATATATGACCTTTATAAATATAAATTACGTTTTCACACTGTTAGGCCGCGAGTACACAGTGTTAAGGAGAAAGTTCTTATATATTTCAATGGGGTAAGAAAGAAAGAAAGAAATTACAACACGTTATAATTCCTTTCCATTCCTATTGTTCAAATCTACCTCGGTAATATATTTAAAAATGAACAAAACAAATTCCCATAATAATATTATTATTACAAAAGCGTGTACGTTTATTGTCTTATTACTACTAAAAGGCTAAACGGGTTGTACTGAAACTTTACATCAATATTTGAATCAGGAAACCTACTATACATATAAAAAAATTGGTTTGGTCGCGGGAATCTGCTAGTATCTATTCTATAGTTAACGATATTAAATTACATTTAATGAGCAACCCTAATAGATCCGCTGCGAAAAATGATACAGAGTCTGTCTTTTGTTTATGGCATAATGAGTCCCTTAATTATGTAAGGACTCGACCAGCTCCTTAATATTGCCAGGGGCCAGTACTCAAACTGGTCGAGATGTCCAATGTGAAATCCCTCGATAGACATTTTTTGTGTATTAAAAGAAT